AGAGAGAGGCCAGCTCAGCCCACCAGGGGGCGGGCTGGCTGGCATGTGGTGCTGGGGGATTGAACCGCGGTCCCTGATGCTTTTGCTAAGCTTGTTCCAAGTAGGTGCTTTAGACCACTGAGCCATCTCTCCAAACTGGCTCTTTTCTTACACTTTGTTACTCCTTTTCAATAAATCAGATTCTTGCTATTCTTTTTGAGTGTCCTGCTTAATTCTTTGTTCAAGACACCAAGAAACAATTCCCCAAATAACAATGAGAATGCTGATTAGAGAGTGGGGATCCAGAGCAAGCCTGCAGCCCCAAGGGATGACCCAGGCAGAACAGCAGCATAGATGCTGAAGTGGAGTGGATGCCCACAGGAGGAGCCAGGCCACAAAGGCTGCTGCTCACCAACCCCAGCCAGCTCTATCTCAGCCCCGGGGCCCTTGCCGCCCCCACTCTGTACCTTGATTCCCGGGAAGGTGATGGCAGAGGAGGCGTAGGAGCCGATCATGAGGGCCATGAACGTGGAGCGAAGGTTCCCGAACATGTTGGGCAGCTGGGGGGAAGTGAATGTGAGCAGGTGCTCCAACCCATGAGGGCTGCCCTTGCCCGGACCGAGGGAAGCCAAGGCCCCGCTGCAGCTCTCAAAGTAAGTGCTGGAGACAGTAGTACAGGAGCCTCCCAGGAAGCTGCACGCAGAGCTAGGTTCTGCCCCTCCACACTCAGTCCCAGAAATGTCCCCACCCACGAGCAGCTGTTTACTTTGTTTCGTCCTAGGGTCACTCAAGAGAGGTGTCTATGGAGCCCTACCTTCTGGGGGATCCTGGGGACAGAATCCAGGGCACCCTGCACAGTCTACAGATAAGAGATAAGCCCCGGGCCCAGCCAACTCCCCAGTCGTGTGGCGTCCCCTGGCGCAACACTGATCTGGTCCCAGTGTGTCACGGATGAGGAAAGTGAAGCAAGGGGGGAAGACTGTTCCCCTGTCACCGTGGGAGGCTTGCTCTCCTCCAGCCCAACCCCACCGAGGCCGCCAGTGACCAGCGCTGCAGCTGTATGGTGCTGGTGCCCTGGAGCCTCTCGGTGACCCTGGGCCGCACAGCCCATAGTGCCTGTGGAACCAGGACAGATCGGGTTATGGCTGCTCAGTCACAATCCCTCAAGCCCACCATCCTTCCCAGCCGCCCCATCCTACTGCTGGGTATGACCTTAGATGCCACACAGCACCTGTTCCCCTCCCTCTAGAGGATGCTGAGGCTCAGGAGAAGGTGCTCTGAGAAGCCAGGCATGGGGGCGCCTGTCTGTAATCCCAACACTCAGAAGGCTAAGGCAAGAGGATCGCCATGAGTTCTGAGCCAGCCTGGGCTATAAGGCCAGCCTGAACTGACAGCAAGACACTGTCTCAAAACTTAATTAATTTTGTAAAATCAAATATCTGAGAGGGAAGCTGACTCAACACAGATGGGAAAGGGAGGGAGGCGCCAGTCAGCAGCTGGCCTTCACCCTCTGTCTGCCGAGGACAGCAGGTAAGTGCCAAGCCAGGGAGCTGTGCCCCACAACGGTCCTCAGGCACTGTACTGTCTCAGCCCAGGGCTCTGTAGAGGATGAGGCTGGCCCATCCAACAGTGGGCTGACCCAGGCTGGTCCCCTGGGAGCTAGAAGAACAGCAATTGGGGGTGGAGCCCTCGAGAGATGGGCTGGGTGGGGCCTGTGCCAGGCCTTACCATTGGCTGGAGATTACAGCCTGAGGTCAGCAGGGGAGGGGTGCCTCCGGAGGGTGGGGTGGGCGGGGCCAGCACCAGGTCTTACCATTGGTAGAAAATTACAGCCCCAGGGTAGAACTAACAGCAAAAAGGGGCGTGGTCTAAGGGATGTTGGGTGTGGTTAGAGGGGCGGGGCCAGGCGGGGCTGCCACTGAGTCCCATGGTTGGCTGAAGATTACAGTGGTGGGCGGAGCCACCGCAGGGCTACAGGAGGATGGGGCAGGGTCCAAGGTCAAGCCTCAGGCCAGGGAGAAAGGATTTACAATCTTCAGCCAAGTTATACAGCAGGTGGGGGCTGCAGAGAGGGGCGGGTAGGAAAGGATCACTTCCTTAGAGTTGTGAAATGTCCCCAGCTGGAATTAAAGGCGGCTGCTGGGGTGAGGAGAAACTCTGCCAAACTCCCAGTTTGGTGCATCCAAGATAAACAACTCCGATCGAGCAGGGCCAGGCGGGAACCTTCCCTCAGCTGCCCCAGCAACCCGCCTAGGCCTTTAACCCTTACACTCACACACGCAAACACACATGCATAGAGACATACACGCGTGCACCTTGGTAGGTCGGCCCGAGGAGCCCAGGCTGCAGGCCAGCCTGCGCATCACCTCACACTGCCGCCCGGCCAGCTCCCGCCCTCTCCTAGCCTGTTACCCAGTCCTCCTGCCCACACTTGGACCACTAACAGAACCTATTAATTTACTGCCTCCTGGGCTGCCCGTGCTCCCTAACCCCAAAACAGTGCCCAGTTTGTATTTGAGTCCCAGTGCCTTGAGAGAACTCGGCGGCAGACACAAAGGCTCCATATGTCTGACTACACGTGGTCTCCTCCTCTAGCTGCCGGCCACGTGCAGGTTGCACCCCAGCACCCCATCTGCGCCTCTGGAGCCCCACCCTCAGCCGAGCTGCGGGCTAGCCGCACTCACCGTGAGCGACGTGAATGTGAGGCAGATGCCAGCAAAGCCGTTCAGGGACAGCGCCAGGAAGATCAGCGGGGACAGGGCTGGGGGGCAGGGCAGAGGAAGGCGTGGGGCTGAGGTCCTTGTGAGTGGCCACCCACCAGCGTTCGGCCAACAGCCCAGAGGCCAGCAGCTCACCTTCAGTATCCTGGATGGTCACGGCCATGAGGGTGCAAGATGCTGCGAAGCAGGCACTGCAGACACAGACGGTGCGGCGCTGACCAGAGTGCCCCCCACCCCTGCCCACCGCGGCCCGCCTCACAGGCCCAGCACCTCACCTGCCCACCATCCGCAGAGGCCTGGGGCCAAAGCGGTCCATGAGGACGCCCAGGGGCAGGGTGGTGGCGCTCAGCAGGAAGGAGCCCACCATGAAGCCAAGGTTGAGCATCTCGTCCTGCTGGTCACAGCTGGGCCACTGGCGCCCCTCGTCTTGCGTGGCATTGGTGGAATTCTCTGCTGGGGAGGAGGAGGGGTCAGCACAGGACGGTGCAGCCCAGCGGGCTCTGACCACAAACCCAGCCTCTCACCAGGGTCTGGAGCCTGGCTAATGTGGGGGTGCTCCGTAAATAAGAGACTCACCCTCAGCCTAAGCCTCCATGACCCCACGGGAGAGCTGGGTATGGAGCCACAGACCTTTAATCCCAGCCTTGCTGGAGGCTGAGGAGGGAGGATTGAAATTTCCAGCCCAGCCTTGCAGTTAGCAATTTAGTGAGACCCTGTCTCAAAATACAAGAAATTAAAAAGAGCTGGGATGCGGCTCAGCACAAGGGCCCTGGGTTCAATCCCAGCATCAAAACAAGTTAAAAGAACCTAGTTCAAATGAAATAATGGGCATCAAAGTATTTAGCAAGTTATAATAGTCCCTTTATGTCCAGGCTTGGGGGATTATGGCCCCCAGCGGGGATCACCCCTAATTAAAGGACAAAGTCCAAGAGCATCGTCCTAATGCATAGAGCAGCATTTGCTCAGACCACACCAGATGGTTTTCCAGGAAAACCATGACCCTGCACAGAGCGCTTCACTGTCAGCCCCTGTCCTGAATGATCCCTGTCTTAGGTCACAGCAGCTTGAGAGCTGAGGAACAAACTGTCCCCATGCTCAGACTTGAGGCTGGGCCACCCCCCACACACACACCCCCCCTAGGGCCTTGCTGAACTCAGCCTCAAGGAAAGCGGTCAGCCTGGGGCAGTGGGACAGAGGGGCCCGGCTCAATCACTGCAGTCACCCCCACCATGGCCCTCCTTTCTGCAGGCACTGCCCCGGCCAACTCGCACTCCCAGGAGGCGGGCAAAGTCTCCATTGCCACCACAGCCTTAGGCGCGGTGCCCTAGGACTAGGCGGCTGGTCTGCGCTGCAGGCTCCCAGCCTCGAGAAGGGGCAGGCCAAGCCCAAGCCAGCAGACTGGGGTTCTGCACAGCAGCTGCTGGAAGTGACCCAGGGGACAGGGGGACAGATGGGAAACTCTGGCTCCGGGGCACAGGAAGCAGCACAGGCTGATTGGCGGCCCATGGTAAGAGGTCGGTGTATCAGTACAGGAGAAGACAGCCCAGCTGCTGGGGCAGGGATGCTGCACACAGGTGCCAGCCACCACCGGGGAAGAGCTGGGCTTGGATGGCAGTTTTGGGGGCAACAGTGATTTGGGGGCTGCTGCTCCTGTCTCCAGCAGGATTTATTTTCTCTCCCCCCTAACTCTGGATGCATGCTGGGTGTCAGCAAGGTGCTGGGACGTGGGCCAAGCAAGAGAAGGAGAGACAGGCACGCAGGTGCCCGGCAGCACCCCCACTGGGCATGCTTGGCTGGCAGGGTTGACCCTAGAAGTGCTGTTAATTGTAATTGGATTCCAGCTTAAACTCAGGAGTTAGCACATAAAAGTCCAGATTGCTGTGTCTTCACAGTCAGCCGGGTACAGCTGAGGCAGGAAGGGTCCCCAAGTCCAAGGTCAGCCAGGACAGTGTAGCAAGACCCTGTCCCAAAACCAGTCAGGACTATCCAGCCACAATGAGCTGGGAGGTCTCCTTGGCCAGGCTGGCCTCCCTCGGCTCCCTTTGGCTGCCTGGCTGTGCTCTTACACCTGCCTGCACTCGGCCATTACCATCGCTGGCCCTAACCAGCATTTGGATTCGAAGCCCCTGCATGAGGCAGCACCCTTCCCCGCTAAGTCTTATGTGATCAAGTGGCAGGGCCCCATTAGCTGGCACTGAACACCAGCCTCTGCCACATGGATTCTCATTTAACCCTTAAAACTTTCTAAAAAATATAAACCAGGGGGCTGGGGAGATGGCTCAGTAGAATAAGCGCTTCCCTGTTAAGCGCAAGGGCCTGAGTTCAATCCCTGGCTCTGCAAAAAAAAAAAAAAAAAAAAAAAACCAACAAAAACGTATTTTAGGATCGGGGAGATGGCTCAGTGGAAAAAGCACTTCCCTGGCAAGCGCAAGGCCCTGAGTTCAATCCCCGGTTCTGGGAAAAAAAAAAAAAAAATCAGGGACAGGGGAGTGCACTGTCGTGCCAACACTCTAGGGAGGCTAAGGCAGGAGGATCACAAGTTTGAGCCTAGCCTGGGCAACTAATCAACCTAGCAAGATCTTGTCTCAAAAGAAAAATTAAAAAAAAAAAAAAAGATTGCTGGGTGTCCATCCCTAATACTGCAAATGAAAGAACAACGGTGTCCATCCCTAATACTGCAAATGAAAGGACAACGGTCACCACTACAGCTGGCTGAGGGAGCAAAGCCGTTCCACCTGCAGCTCCACAGATGGATGGGCGGGGTGAGGAGGACGTGTCTGTGACCCAGCGGGATGTCTGCCCTGCCCACATCTTGTTTATTGAGCAGGACAGGACGTCCAAGGCCAAGACTTCCTCTCCCGGAGGGCTAGCCAAGGCCAGCTGGCTACCACCAGAGCTACCGCCGAGTGACCGCCAGCGTCACATAACCCATCCCTCGCGCCGCCATAACCGCTGACAGTGACTGTGATGGTGGCGCAGAAGTGAGCAGGAAGAAACCAGCTCCACACAGTCGTCCCAACACATGGGAGGCGGGAGCAGGGGGCCCTTGTGCGTGTGAGGCCACCCGGGCCACAAAGGGAACACGTGGCCGCCTGAACCACACAGCAAGACCTTGTCCCCAAAAGGCCAAAAGTAAATTAATAAATAAAATTAAAATAACACCTGTGCACACAAGAAAAGGGAAAGAAAGTGGCTTCAGAGGACCAGGTCTGCGAAACACCGGGGAGGCAGACCCTGCCTCAGCAGCCACCTTGGGTCAGGGTCAAACTCTGTTACGCACAGCTGCGAGGGGCCACTGGGGCCCCGCCATCACCGTGTCAGTGACAAGGAACAGTGTGCTCTGTCCTGGGAGGCCACTCTGGACAGCCCGGCACACACACGACTGAGCACATCTGTGTTTCTCTCTTTCCAGCCTCCCTTCTCAGCCCCTGAAGTGACACTAAAGACCCTTCTGGAATGGGCTCTCGCCAGCGCTGGGTCACCGCTCCGCAGTGTCTCTACAGTGGCGCTGCAGCAACGCCCAGCACAGATTAGCAGCGAGGGCTGCGGCCTACCCAGCATGCAACAAATGATTAATGAAGCTGAGTGACTGCTTGATCATTTGGGCACTTAACTCGGGGACACACAGCAGAGAGTGACCAACTGAAACCTCTCTGCCCATGTTCTGAGCTCCGATGTCCTCGCACGTGGATTAGGCAGGCATCTGGGTGTACAGCAAGAGGGAAGTCGGGGGTGCTGACTCCGGAGGCTGAGGCAGGAGGATCACACGCTTGAGCCCAGCCTGGCCTACACAGTGACTTAGCAAGACCCTGTGTCAGAGTAAAACTTCTAAACATGGGCTAGGGCTGTCGCTCTGTGTGAAAGCCCCAGCTGAGTCCCTAGTACCTCCCCCTAAAAAGGAAGGAGGGAAGGGAAGCCCCAAGAGACACGGAGAGTGGCCAGAGAACCCCAAAGCCTACACTAAGGACCACCTCAACAGTAAGTTCCACATTTGTTGAGCCTTTATAATACTGGTTAAATGACATCAATGAACTCTTATTGTTCTGTGGCAGGAAGGAGACAACAGTCTCCTCTGTATTACAGATTTGGAGAGACATAGTGCTCCAGAAAGGTGCTTGGTCAGAAGCGGCATCCCCACGCCAGCCACGGCGTCGGAGCTGCCTGCTCACTGTCCTTCTCCACAGCGGCCCTGGGCACGGGCCCCTGTGCCCACGCATGGTTGAGTGCTCGAGTCGCGGACCAGCACAACCAGCGCAGAAGCCGAGCCGCCTGGTCTGAATGCACATCCTGGGAGTGCTGCAGAATGAGGCACTGGGAAGCACATGGGCAGCACGGCAGGGACACGCCCGGGACAGCGCCAGGTCCACCAGCAGCCTGACAGCAAGGGAGAAGGGCACGTGCTGAACTCAGGTTCAGACAGCAGATGAGTGGAGGAGGGGATAGCCAGCGGGGGACAGGAGCCCACTGCCAGCACCAGGGGACACCTCAGGAAGGCCCTGTGCCAAAATTTAAAAACAAGAGGGGGCGTGCAGCTCAGGGCCAAGGCCTTGAAGGTGTTATTTACAATAAGTAAACGAATAGAAGCAAAATAAATAAAGTTAGCCCAGCATGGTGACGCACACCTGTAATCTCAGCACCTGAGAGGCTGAGGCAAGAGGATAACTGAGTTCAAGGCCAGCCTAAATTGCACAGCAAGACCCAGTCTCCAAAACAAAGTAAGGAGGCTAGTTGTAAACTGTTTTCAAAAGCACAGGTGAAGGGATGGGCCTAGAAAGGTGAGGCAGGTATCTAGGGGGTGACAGAGGGGTTTTAAACAGTGACTGTGGCCATGGTGCGTCTGGACACACCAGTGGTCCTCCAGGTGGGTGACAATCTTCAGCGAGGCTGCTTTAGGAAAACACTGCCTTGTGCAGCTGGGGGAGGCGGGAAGGAGCCACCAGCAGGAGAGCAGCGTGCGTTCCCAGGCTGCGGGCAGTAGGGGCCAGATCCCTCCCAAGCTCCAGGGACAGCTGCGGTGCCCCGTTCTCCTGTGGGTCCCGGTCTCCATGCAGCCTCACCACCTGCCCTAAGGCCTCGCCTTCCCAGGCCACCCAGCTGAGGTTGGGGCCAGCAGGGGCGGGCAGGAGGCCATCTCTTGGTGCCACCTGTCGCCTCCCCACACATAACCCTGGCAGGGCGGTGGGGCTGCGGTTAGATCAGGACCTCCCTCCTTGTCCCGGGAAACTGACTTTCCCCAAAGCCGCAGCCCCGCTGTAAGGCCGCAGGGACTACCCAAGTCAGCACAGATGGGCTTGCTTGTCCCCTCTGCCTGGTGCTTGGGGCAGGATCGCACTCGGGACACCCTGCAGGGCGTGGGCGGGCAGGGACACCTGGACTCAAACCCAGCCTGGGTTCTTCCAGGCTCACTGGCTCCAATCACAGTGCAGAGATAGAAGAGCTGGAGCGGAGGGGAGGAAAAAGGGGAGGAGAGGAGGAAGCGAGGGAGAAGAGGGGATGGGACAAGCCAAGGGCAGGGTGCCTGCCCTGGAGCTGAACTTCCGGACAGCACGCTGCCCTCCTCCAAAGGAAAGCACGACAGCCCCAGTGCCCATACGGCGGACCCCTTCCTGCCTGGCCCCTGCAGGCAGCTGGCTGCTGGCTGCCAGAGAGCTCACAGCCCACTGCTGGAGCAAGGCCACGCTCACAGGCCAAGGCGCTGGAAGCTCAGCCGCCCCGCCCTCCTGACCCCTCCCTGCTTGGAGGAGAGGTCTCTAATAACTGCAAATGAGCGACTGGAGGAGGGCAGGGCACAGCCCATGAGTCCATCTGCTTCAATGCTGGCGTCCATCTGCTTTGAGGTGCCTTGCAAGTGTCCGCGCTCTTCAACCCTAGGCTGGGGTTGGTCCTCAGCGCTGCACACAAATAAAGGAAAACTCTCGACCCGCTAGGTGGCCCGCTTCTGTTTTGTTCTGGTTTGGGGTTTGGGGTCAGCCTGTCAGCAGGTACCCAGGCTGGCCTTGAACTTGGAATCCTCCTGCCTCGGCCTCCCCACCACCAAGAATGCAGGAGCCCTGGATGGGGGTCGCCACACCTACTCTGGCGGGAGCCTCTCACCCGCGGGACGCCCGGTGCGGGTGTGCGTGGACAGGACACCACCCCCGTCGCGCGGCCACCTACCGGGGCACAGGCTGGCGTAGACGCCCTCCTGCTTCAGCATGAGCAGCAGCGAGCCCCAGCCCAGCAGCACGGCGGAGAAGAAGAGGTTCTCCAGCACCGCCGTGCCTGCCATCCACCAGCGCCAGCGGTAGGCGTGCGCCAGCGAGGGGGCCATGTGCGGCCGGCAGCTGCCACGTGGAACCTGGGCTGGCGCAGGAAGTGGCGGGCGCCGTGGGGGGCTGAGCGCAGGGGTCGCCCTGGGCCGCACCTGGGGTCGCGCAGGCAGCAACAAGTGTGGCAAGCTGCTCCGCGCGAGGAAGTGGCCGGCTGGGCGGGGCGCACCCCCATCCCACCCCACTTCGCTGCCCTCTCCATCCTCCGCCCCCACCGGCTCGGGTTTCGCGCACGTGACCGGGCCCCAGCCCCAGCCCAGCCAGGGATGCAGCCCCAGCGCCCCGCTCCAGCCGCGTCGCAGGTGCTGTCCATCGCGAGCCGCATTGTGGGATCGAAGCCCTGGTGTCCGTGTTGCAGCAAACTGGCCCGGGTCACCCTGGGCTCCCGACTTAGCTTCCCTAAGCGCCTGCTTTTATTCTCTTCAAGTACAGCTAGCAACAGATGTCAACTGCCCACCTGCGAGGGGCAGTGGGATGCAGGTAGGTGTGATGCATGCCAGTTGTCCCAGGACTGGAGAGGCTGAGGCAAAAGGATCCCAGGAGTTCCACCCTAGTCTGGGTGACATAGTGAGTTCAAGGCCAGTCTGAGCTACATATGGAACCCGTCTCAAAAAAAAAAGGCAGGTGATGCAGGTATGGCCCTCGGCAGAGTAAGCTTGCTAAATGGTCGCTGCTGGGGCCCTCATGTTATCCTCAGGTTATTTCAGAAGACCTAGGGACCAGAGGCCCCCAGCCACTAAGTGCCTGACCTCAGGTGAATCAGCGCCGGCCTGTGCGAGGCGCAGGAGGATCCCTGAGGTGATGAGGTAACCACAGTGCAGGTGTGCACCCTCCCACCACACGTCTGCAGAGCGGCAGGAGCAGCCCTGAGCCCCTGAACCCGAGCAACCGCATAGGAAGTTCCCGAGGGGGCCCTGAGACCGAACCTGGACAGGAAGTGACAGCACAAGTGGCTACCAAGTGTGGTGGTGTCCCCAGCATGCACATACGAAAACTTGAAGACAGCAGGCCTCACCAAAACCTCATGGTGGACTCTGATGGTTTCACTTCTTAAAATTCATCGCCAGCAGGGAGGGGCTGGAGATCACCCTGGCCAGGGGCCTTGCCAGGAGAGTGGGAAGCCCTGTGGTGCCTCTCAGGACCATGAGGGGCCCCCAAAACTTCCAAGTCAAGGTCAGATTCTTTAGGTGGGTGTGGTGTGCACAGCTGTAATCCCATCATTTGGGGAGGCTGAGACAGGAGGATCAGAAATTTAAGCTCAGTCTGGGCAATTTACCAAGTGAATGAGACCCAGCCTCAAAATAAAAGGAGGGTCATGTTGATAGCTCAGAAATCTAAGTGCCTGCTGAGGCTAGCGCAAGGACCAGGGTTCAATCCCCAGTACCATATGCCATACCAGCCTTACCCCAGGTGCTCTGAAACCGCCACCAAGACTGGGTGTGATGGTGCACGCCTGTAATCCCAGCACCAGAAAGGCTGAAAACAGGAGGCTCTCTAGGAGTTCAAGCTGTGTAGTGAGAACCTGAACCACATACATAAAATTAAGTAAAAGGGAATGAGAGGACTGCGAGTGGGGCTCAGTGACAAGGTCTAGGTTCAATCCACAGCTCCAGAGGAAAGAGATAAGAAAGACCCCTGCCTCAGCACGCAGAGGCTCACACTAAAGAGGGCCTGGCTCTCCTTGGGAATGAATGGTGTTGCTAATCAGCTCGCTGACCGTGCCCCGGAACCTGTGTGCACTACAGCTCCGTAGCCTGCGTCTGGGTCAGGCCTGGCCCTCAGCCCCACTGCCTGGCGCACATGCCCACCCCCAGGCATGAACCTGGCAGCTGCGTGCTGGCACTCGAGCAGATGCACAGCGCAGAGCCGGCGGCAGAGCAGATGTGCAGCTGGCAGCTGGCCCCTGCTCTGCACCTGCTCGTCCTTCTGCAGGTGGCAGCAGCCCTAGCAGCGGGCCCCACCCCGTCCTGGAGCCTCCTGGGTCCTGGCTGGGCTGGGGTCCTCCCTGCCTGCTCCCCTGCTCGGAGCCCCAGTTGGTCTGGGAGGAGCTTCGGGTCCTCCCTGTACCACTCAGGGCTGCGCTGCCACAGCCTGGGAGACGGTTACTAAACAAACGGAAAGTGACCGGAGCAAGTGCAGCTCGAGCTGGATAACCTTGGAATGACCTCCACTGGGAGGCTGTGACTGCTGGGGGGGAGGCAGGAGATGCGGAGCTCCTGAGTTGCCCCTTCTTGACAGACCACCCCACACACCCTGCCACCATACTGAGCTACATCGCCAGAGCCTGATTTTTGTATTTTATTCTGAGACAGAATCTTGCTGACCTGCCAGGCTGGCCTCGAATGTGCAGTGCTCCTCCGCTGGGAGTGCAGGTGTACGTGGCAGTGGTATCCAGCTGGTTGTCTGTTTCTGATGAAGGAGGCAGGATGGTTGAGTTTGCGTTTGACGGGCAACGGAGACACTAGGAAGCAGCTATTAAAGCCATTTTTTTTAATGTATTTGGTAGAGGATCTCACCATGCAGATCAGCACACACCATCACCCCCTCACTTGGTCTCGGCTCGGCAGGCCGGAGGGCAGGGTTGGCACGGCGTGTGGCACCAGGGATTGAACCCAGTCCTTGGGCTTGCCTCAGCAGGCACTTAGTCCGTTGAGCTATCTCACCAGCCCTATTAAAGCCATTTAGGAGGCCTCTGAAGTGGATCCCATTTAAAATTTTAAAAAGAAGCTGGGCATGATGCCCTATCCCTGTAATCTTAGCAGGAAGCTGAGGCTGGAAGATTGCTGCGAATTCAAAGCCAGTGAAAGCTCACTGGACTACACAGCGAGACCTTGGCTCAGAACAGCTGGCGCAGCAGCATGCTCGCCCCGGCCCCGGGCTGGGGGCTGACCCAGGACGGGAGCGCGAGGCTCCGGGCAGCGCACTGAACCTCGCGGCTGCGCACAGCATCTCCCGCGCCTGTTCTCAAGTCCAGGCGTCCGACCCATCCCGCGCTGCGAGGAAGCACTTATTCAGCCCCACAGATGGGCACCGTGCGCTGCTCATGAAAAAGCGGGCAGCAACCAGGCTCTGCTCACAGGGACACGAAGGCTGGCGTGGCCACCCAGTAGGCCCAGCCCTCCTCGATGCTCACCCAGGACAGAGGTGCTCAGAGCCCCTGACCCAGGCAGCCTGGGACCGCCCACGGAGAGGAGGCCGCCACACGATGTGCTCGCGTCCAACTCCGACAGGGAATGAAGCAAAGGCGGCCACGCCGCCACCTCGCCTGTGTGACCCCATGTGCTCACGCTGACGGGAAAGGCCGGGCGCTGACCGCAGAGACAGGAAGTGGACACGCGCTGAGAGAGCAGGCAGGAAGGAGGAAGGGTGGGCTGCTAATGGGCGTGGGGTTCTCCTTGGGGTGAAGAACGCTGCACTTAGCGGCGGGCAGCGCGTGCATGCGCTAAAGTGCACTGAGCCGCACAGCACAAAGGAGGGACTTTTATAGCATTTCAATTACAGCACATACTGAGGCCAAGGCCCCAGGCCGGGTTGGAGTGAAGACTTAGGAGGCCCCGGCCTCGCTGAACGCAGCCGAAGAGGACATGACGGACAAGTCCCACGCCAGCGAGCACAGGAGTGTCACGGAGGAGTCACGCAGGGCAAAGGACAGCTACATGCGACGTCTGGGAAATGAGCTGACGGAAAAGATGCACTGCCGCGACCCCCAGAAATTCTCACCGTGAACGCACGCGTCCCACCGTCCTGGCCTGCAGCAGCTCCGGAGTCCTCTTTCCGGAGTGTCCTTGACTGTCCTGGCTGCCTCCATGTCCCCCATTCATTCAGAATATCCACCTTTCCTGGTCATTTTGACTCTGGGGGGAGCCAGACGTCGCGTGGTTTCAGATCCGGTGACTGTGGTGCAGGAGGACGCGGTGCCGTGGGCTCCCGAGCTGCCTTCTGCTGCAGGGTGCCCGGCAGCAACACTCACTCTATAAAGACACCCATGCAGGGAGGAGGGCTCCAGAGCTGCTGCAGGCGGTGGCCGGGCAGTGGAACGAGTGCGTCCCACGTGAGGGGAGGATCTCAAAGGGTCCCTGGCAACACAGTGATTAAAACTACTGTACTCACTTTTTAATCTGAACCCTGGCCACCTGTACCGCAGGAGGGTTCTTCTTGCTATGTAGCCCAGGCTGGGCTTGAACTCAGAGATCCTCCTGCCTCAGTCTCCCTGGTGCTGGGATGGCTGGAGCATGCCCCCATGCCCTGCAAAGGTGCTAAAACCACATTTTTGATGTCAGCTCCTCTGGGTCAGGAAACTGCTGCTCTGCCGGCCGCATGGGCTGGGTCCCTGCAGCAGGGCCGGCGTCTGGGTCAGCCCACTCCCACAGAGCACATGCTAATCCATCCAGGCTGCAGCCGGGGGCTCCTGGGTGCCTCCTTGGGGCCCAGCTCAAAACGCTGCTCCACCGGCAGGCAGACAACAGCACACCGACAGACACCCTGCAGCCTTAGCTTGGCCCTGCAGCCAGCCTGATCCAATTCTCTGGTTGCCATGGAGAATGTGGAGCCAGTCCCCTCTCCACTGCCACTGGCTCACTGTGGGTGTTCCTACAAGTCCCACACAGGACAGGCCACATAAGGACTGCAAACGGAAAGTGCCCCAGCCCAGCAAGGATGCTGGGGCCAGTGTCCCCCTCTCCAAGCAGCAGCTGAGGTGGCCTCAGGTCGGCACCAGCACCCCAGTGCCACTATTCACTTCCGGCCCAAACCTCGGGAGGCTGCAAACTTCTGAGAACTTCAGTTCTTCGTTTAAGAAATGAGGACACTCAGGCCTACCTCGGGTTGTCCTGAGATTAACTGAAGCTGACCACACTGGCACACTCATCATCCCAGCAGTTCTGGGAGGCTGAGGCAGGAGGATCACAAATTTGAGCCCAGCCTGGGCAAACTCGTGAGGCCCCGTCCCAAGGATAGAAACAGAAAAGCCGAGGGCAGTTCAGCGGGCCAATGCCTGGTACCTGGGGAACGAAGTTAACTGAAACAGCCTATGTGAGGAGGCACTTAGTGCGTAGCAGCAGCCGATGCCTGGTGCATACCTCCCGCCCTTCCCAAGGCGCGAGCCTGGGAGACAGCGCCACCTGCTGGCCGCAAGCTGAACTTCTCTTTTGGGGGGCGGGCTGGCACCGTGCCAGGGATGGAACCCTGGTCCCTGCACGCTTGCCTAAGCAGGCTCTTTGGACCGCGGAGCTATCTCGCCGGCCCACACAGGTTTAACTGCTCAAGGCGCTACTCGTGCGCGTCCAAATTAGCTGGTTACCAGACTGGGCTGAATTTGTTGGGTTTTGTGGTCCTTGGGATTTGCACTGAGCTACATTCCTAGGCATTTATAAAAAATTATGTATTCATTTAATGTATTTGGTACAGGGTCTACAGGGTCTCACTGCGTAGTGATTCTCCCATTTTCAGCCTCCCAAGCACTGGGATTACAGGCACACAGCACCACGCCCAGTCTCTATCACTGTCCCAGCGCACCCTGGGGACAGGGGTCGGGCTGGCACGGCACACTGGGGGCCGCTGCGCGCTGCCTACGCAGGGCTTTACTCCGCTGCGCTATCTGGCCGGCTGATTTTCATTCACGTATTTGGCACAGGGTCTTACCATGCACTGGGACTCAGTGATCCTTGTGTTTGCAGCCTCCCCAGCGCTAGGATTACAGGTGTGCGCCACCACACCTGGTCTCCTCCACCGGCTCAGCGCACCCGGGCGCAGCACGTGGTGTAAAAAAATTAAGGCAAGGAGTCTTGAAGTTGCCCCGGTGGCCTCGCCCTCCTGCCTCAGCCCCTGGGGGCTGGGAGTCAGGGGTGCACCACCACACCCAGGGAGCTGTCACGCGCTGAGCAGAGGCGCTTTTCTAGGCGCTCACAGTGAGGTAGGTGCCTTGACTGCACTCTCATGGCTGGGGAAACTGAGGCACAGAGCAGCCAAATACCTCACCCAAGATCACACAGGAGGAAAATCTCACCTGAGACGCAAGCCGTTGTCAGGCTTGAATCCACAGTGAGCCCCAGACTCAGTCTACATTGTCCGCTTTATCCCGTCATCACAAGCCCACCTGCAACACCTCTGCCCGCAGGGCCACCCTGAAAGTGCGACTCCCAGAGGCCTGGCATCCCAGGACTCTTGGGACAGGGCATGCAGCCCTGCAGCTGCCGCAGCCTGCCGCCGGGATGGATCACCTGGGGCCTGCTGCAGGGTGACTGCGGGCTGCACCGAGCGGCGGCAGCAGCATCGCCCAGGCCTCCCTGGCCTGCGCACCTCAGAGCTGGGGCCTCACTGCGCTGACACTGAGGGTTCAGGGCCAACCTCCGTCCACCTGCTGGGACTGAAAGGGCAGAGAGCGCACAGGACTCCACCGCGGCAGGCAGAAGAGTCCAAGTCCCCTCCCTTTACTCCAAACACTCAGCCCGCGGCACTGGCCACTTTCTGCAGCAGCTCTGGAGTCCCGAGTTTTGTTTTTGAGGCAGGATGTCACGGTGTAGCCCAGGCTGGCCTGGAACTCACGATCCTTCTGCCTTAGCCTCAAGTGCTAGGCATATAGATCTGCGCCTATTTCCAGCTTCTGAGTTTCTTTTTTTTTTTTTTTTTTCCGAACCAGGGATTGAACTCAGGCCCTTATGCTTGCCAGGCAAGCACTTATTCTACTGAGCCATCTCCCCGGCCCTGAGTTTCTTTGTAAGACATAAGGAGATAAAAAAATATGGTGATTACTGCTGCCAAGCACCACCCACTGAGGATAGGTTTCTGAAAACATGGTCCTATGGTCCATTATGCTTTGCCCAGCAAATATTGTAACGTGCTTTGCTAACTCATTTCACCCTCTCAGCAGACCCATAGCTGTGCCCATTTTACAGATGGGGAAGCTGAGGTGCACAGAGGAGCCATGTTCAGGGTCGCGCAGCAAGCAGCGACCTCAGGTGCAAGAGAGGCTGTCTTACCACTCTGCGCTGTTAATACACTGGACTCCCTCTGCTGGTGGTGGCTGTGGCTGATTTTTTTTTTTTTTCCTTTTTCTTTTCAGACAGTCTCACTATCTAGTCCAGGGTGACCCAAAGCTCACTGTGTAGCCCTAGGCTATCCCAGACACATGGTGAGCCTACTGTTATTATAGTCATGCTCACGACAAGTAGTGTCTCTTTTTTTGCTCCTAAATGGCAAGCTTTGCACACAATAGGCATCTAAAGCACATTTATTTTTTTTTATTTTTTTTAATTTTATTTATTTATTTATTTATGTGTGTGTGTGTGTGTGTGTGTGTGTGTGGCCAGCTCAGCCCACCAGGGGGCGGGGCTGGCTGGCATGTGGTGCTGGGGGATTGAACCGCGGTCCCTGTGCTTTGCTAAGCTTGTTCTAAGTAGGTGCTTTAGACCACTGAGCCATCTCACCAGCCTGTAAAGCACATTTAATATATACACATATACACACAGCCTTGGCCACGCCAGTGACCGCCACCCTGGGGATGGCCAGGCGCCCGCCGCCCACCTCACGCAGGCCCCGAGCTCTGCTGCACCCTCTTCATGAGCTCCTCGTCCTGCATGGACAGCTCAGTCAGCTTCTTGCCCATGCGCTCGTGGATGTCCAGATACTTGGAGACGCACCGATCCAGACACACTGACTCGCCCTTGGACAGCTCCGCCTCCTTGTAGTGGGGGGGCACGCACTTGCGGTGGCAGGCGTTGGTCATTCTGGGGTGGGGAAGGTGGGAGCAAGGCGGCATCAGCAGCATCCCATGGCGCTCCCGGGACCCCCAGCCATGCCGCCCCTGCACTGACTTCCATCCCCAGTCTGCACCCTAGCTGCCTGGACAGAGCTTTCTTCAGATCAACTTGCGTGAGCAACAGGAAGGGTGCATCAGGCACTGGCTGTGCACTCGGAGACCACGTCACCCAATTCTTAGGGCGACCCTGGGGAGCGGGCACAGCCCCTATCCCTCCTGTTACAGCTGAGGAAATAGGAGCTGCAGGAACTTGCCAGAACACACAAGGAGTCACTTGACGACCTTGCAGCCACAAGGGAAGATCGCTCTGATTTAATGGTCAAGAAAAGCAACCATCCAAGGGGGCTGCGGAGAGTAGGCGTGTGCTTCCCACAGGCTGGGCTCGCCTGCGCTGAAGGTTCCTGTCTCCAGGAGCTGAAACCCGTGACTGCATCCTGTGGTGGGCGAGGAAGCTAGCCCACAGAGATACTGCCACGGCCTGCCGGAGACACGACTTGCTCCCAAGAGGGTGAGATGGTCACAGCTGCTGGGACTCACCGAGGTACCACCACACCCCCGCACTGCCACTGACCACCGGGATGCCGAGCAGCTCGTTTAACCTCCCTCTGCTCAACTTAAAACAGAACAAAACCACCAGGGTACTGGGAAGACTAAAAAGAACATCCTACATGGACTCCCACCCCTGAAATGTGAAATTAAGGGGGGAGGTGAGCCCCAGGGGGTTCTGGGGAGTGAAAACTCACCCAAATATGTTAGCTGCCTCTACTGCTGTGACAAAATGAGACTCGTGAATCTCCATAATTAATGAGCACTAATAAAAACAAGATGCCCACAAAGCCACGCTATAAAGCCAGGCACAGTGGTGCACACCTATAATCGCAGCACTTAGGAGGCTGAAGCAGGAGATCCCCACAAGCTCAAGGTCAGCATGGGCTACACAGTGAGTTCAAGGCCAGCCTATACTACATGGCAAAACCTAAAAAAAAAAATAAGACTTCACATTCTACCTACTGCAGAAGCGCTACTGCATTTCACTGCATGACTCTCACATCAGATATGGATCATTTCTGGTCCTAATGGACAAGTGTTGTTTCCAGCTTGGGGCCGTGACAAATATTACCGTTTTTTTAAAAATGCACATAAAATTGTTATTCAGTGACCAACCATGAGTAAGTTAACAAAATGTTCACCGCTAACCGGCCTGCGTCAACCTGTAGTCATAAAGGACAGTGGCTGCTCGCCCCGCTCGGCTCCTTCTCGCCAGCCCAGCCCAGCGAAGTCCTGGCCCCATCACGCGGGCCGGGCAGTCCTCCCCTGCGCTCGGCTCTGCGGGCCGCTGGTTCCGGGCAGCGCGGCTCACCTGTTGTACATGTCGGCCATCATCTCCACCTCCAGCTCCGCCGCCAGCTGCTGGGCCCTGAGCGGGTCCATCGAGCCCAGCCCCGTGGGAGACCTGGATCTGCATAGACACAGCCGTGAGCACCGCCTCGCGACCCTCACGCCCAGCGGCTTGCACATGCGGGGCTCACGGGCGCCACCAGCCGGGCCACCGCCTCTGGGCGCGTAGGCACCCAGCACACAGACGTGGAAACTGAGGCAGGGCCGACTGCCCGCCCAAGGTCACGGGGACGTCAGGGGGAAGGGGGTCAAATCGAGCCTGGGCGCCTGACGCCCCGTCCCATCGACGGCAGCTTCGGCCGGGGATAGGGAAGCCGAGGCCGATCACTGGAAACAACCGCGAGCACGGACTTCTGCGGCCGGGATACCCGACAGCTCTGAACCCCTGCGAGGACCCCACAACCCGACTCAAAGGCTGCACCACGGCAATCGCGACGTCATCACAGGATCCCCTCGAGATCTGAAACCACTGCTCACTCACCACGGTCGGCAGCGGGTCACAGCGCCGGGGCGCCGCCAATTGCGGGCAAAAACTACTGTACAAACTTGCCGGGTGCTCGGGGAAAACACGCCGGAAGCACGTGGATCACTTCCGGAAGGGAAGTCCCGCCTCCTCTCTGACCCGGAAGGAAACGCCCGTGAGGCGGTGCTGGGAACTCGGCTACCACAGAGAGGCAGCCGGGGCCGGCCGAAAGGAACGTCGATTTTCAAATGCTAGAGGGGATGGTGATGTACCATAGAGACCTGGGGTGGGGCGGGCCGAGCGCCGCAACCGGGCCGGCGCCCGTGTCGCCTGGGTTGTCGCGGAGGCGATGCGGAGCGGCTAGCTCGATAAGTAAATAATAAATTAAATTTAAAAAAAAAAAAGCAAGCGGAGTGTGGGCGCGGACCCGGGGTACACGTGCCCGGGCGAGCCCCGCCTGCGGCTGCCGGGCGGGGTCTCCCATCCCCGGGGGTCTCCCACCCCCGGGCGCCTCCCGGGGCGACTGCGCAGGAGCAGAAGACGTGGGGAGCTCTCCGGGTGCGTCCGGCCGAACCGCTTCCCCCGCAGGACGAGGAACCCTAAGACCCTTGGTTTTGGGTAATTTATCAGTTAAACTACATTTGCAACATGCAAATTTATTTTAATTTTGAGATAGCCTTCACTACGTAGTCCAGGATAGCCTTGAACTTGGAATTTTCCTGCTCCAGCCTCCAGAGTGTTGGGTCACAGGCGTGCACCAGCACATCAGACCTATTATAAGGTATAAATCGATGATGCGAGAATATATTTCCCACCGGCGTGATGTATGGTCGTTGCGATATTTTTGTAATTATCCAGAACAGCCCTGACTTGGGAGGTGAGGTATGGACGGCCAGCAAGCCCAGCACTCACCAAGGCCGATGCAGGAGAATCGCAAGTTTAAACTCAGCCTGTGCAATGTAGCAACTTAACAAGAGCCTGTCTCAAAAAATAAAATAAAAAAGAAATAAAATAAAGGGCTGGGGATGTAGCTCAGTATGCTGGCGCTGGGTTCAGTCTCCAGAGTCTGTCTGTCTGACTGACCCAGTGAGGGTTCCCCTGTGTACTGCAGTTCTGTAAGACTTAACCCGTAGGGGCCGGGGAGATAGCTCGGTAGAATAAGCACTTGCCTGGCAAGCGCAAGGGCCCGAGTTCAATCCCTGGTTACACCAAAAAAACCCCAAAAAACTTAACCCTTAGTGAAAGCTGAGTGACAGGTTATCCAGAACCTCTCTAAACCATGATTTCTTTTTTTTTTTTTGAACCAAGGATTGAACTCAGGCCCTTGCACTTGCCAGGCAAGTGCTTATTATACTGAGCCATCTCCCGGGCCCCAGCATAATTATTTCAAAATAAAAACGTTTAAAAACTCATTACAATAAATAAATAAAAAGACAGTGGAAATAAAGCACTTAGCCCATGACAAGTACTCAATAAAAAGCAATCACTGTTCTTTTTTTCCCCCCAGGGATTTGTTAGGGGAAAACGTAGAACACACGGGAAAAATGAAGAGTACATTTGACTGAACTCCCATGGATGTAGCGACAGGCCCGAACAGTTGCTCACCCTCAGCCATATTCTTGGTCTATTTTTATCTTTTAACAGATGGATTTTTTTTTTCCTAACTGCTATTTTCATACCCTCAAAATTATAGTAATTTCTTTTTTCTTTTTTTTCTAATACTGATGACCACACCCAGGGCACCAATATACTAGCAAGGGTCCTCCCACTGGGCTACACCGCAGTCCAGTCATTTCTCGGTGGCACTGAATGTGGATTTCTCCGATCCCCATGTCTCCAGGAGGTCTTTGTCTTTCACATGGTGGTAAGAATACTTAACATGAGATTTTCCCCAGTTACAAATATGTAAGCACACAATATAGTATTGTTGCCAGGCAAGAGGCGTGCATCTGTGATGCTAGCACTTGGGAGGCTGAGGCAGGAGGATTGCTGAGTTCACGGTCATTCTGGGCAACGTAACAAGACCCTGTCTTAAAAAATCAAAACAAACAGTTCTGTGCTGTTAGCTCTAGGCACGTGCTGTAGAGCAGGTCTTCAGAGCTTACTCGCCCTGTGACCAAAGCAGCACACTCTGGGCAGCAATTCATTGCCCTTCGCAGCCCCCGGAAACCACTGACCCTGCCTATGCCGTGTGCTCGTGCCTCTGTGAGCCTCGTCTCCTGTGTCTAGGCGTTGGGCAGCCCCCAGTCAGAATCCACAATTGCCCTCATGGAGTCTTTTGTTTGTTTCTTTTTGTTTTTTAAAACGGTCTCACTATACAGATCAAGCTGTCTTCTTTCAAAGCTTGGAGAGCTCCAGCTTTTGAAAACCTCACTAGCCTCCAGATCTGTGGCCGCCGCCGGCTGCCCATCCCTGTCCCACCCTGGTGACGGAGGCCTGGCCCTTCCCACGTCACGGCGGCAGATGGTCATGGTGTGCACTGTGTGCCAGAGCTGAGGAGGGCTGCAGGTCCTAACCCTTGGGACCTGGCTGCTCACAACAGGCAGAGAAGGCACAGCCAGGGGAGCATCCGGGGCCTGTGAAGCGGACTGGCTGCACCTCTGTCACCGTCCCATCCCAGAAGTCCCCTGCCTGGTCCTCTGCCTGTCCTCTGCCATCCCCACTTGTGCCCACACTGCCCCTTCACGTGCTGTCCAGACCACTGCCAGAGCCACGTGGTCACCAGACACCACCGTGACACCAAGCAGCAGAGTCTCCTGCGTGGCCAGGTGGCCCTGGGATGGTGTACTGCGATGTCCTTTTCGCTGCAGCCCTTCTGCCTCTGCGTAGTCCATCATGTCTGCCTCCCCCCGTGCTGGCCTCCGCCTAGGAATTATAGCTCCTGTCTCCTCTTTACTTTGTCTGTAAATAGAATAGCTACCTGCCCCTGCCATGTGCCGTGTTCCTGTCCTGTGGAGAATTGTTTTCCATCTTCTGACTTTTAGTCTGAATGCCTGAGTTCACTGTGTTTCTTTTATGCAGCATATTGTTGGATCTCATTCCTTGATCCATCCTGTCAGGCTGTTTCTTTTCATTGGTAAATTGAAATAGTTAACACTGGTGATTATAACATGTATTGACTTATCCCTTTTTTTGGTTTTCATATAAATTATTTATTTTAAAGAGAAAAAGATTTCAAAACAAGGTAATAGGAGAGTAACAATGGTTAATACATTGAGTATTATCTTTAAGTTAGCTACTCACAGTATCAGACACAGGCATTTTATTGACTTTCATGCTTCTTGCTGTTGCTGATTCCCTTTTCTCTCCAGTGTTTAATGCTTACCTTTCCTGCAGACTCATTCTGTTGGGGTTCATGGAATTGTAGTCTTCGTTATTTCTTTCTAGAATGTTTTTAGAACTTTCTGGAGTGTTGGTTTGATAGTCATGAATTTCTTCAGTTTTTCTTTTTTATGACAGTATCTTATTTCTCCATCAATTTTGAAAGATAGTTATGCAGAGTACATCAATCTGGGTGAGGGATCGTTTTCTTTTAGAGCTGGAAATACTTCACTTCAAGCTCTCCTTGACTTGAGGGTTTGTGTCGAGAAAGCTGCTATGATTTGGATGGGCTTTCCATTATAGGTGATTTGTTTCTTTTCTCTAACAGTTTTTACTTATCTCTTTATTTTTTAAAATGTACTTGGTGGGGCTGGTGAGATGGCTCAGTGGTCTAAAGCACCTACTTAGAACAAGCTAAGCTAAGCAAAGCACAGGGACCGTGGTTCAATCCCCCAGCACCACATGCCAGCCAGCCCGCCCCCTGGTGGGCTGAGCTGGCCACACACACACACACACACAATAAATAAATAATTTTTTTTAAAAATGTACTTGGTACAGAGTCTCACTGTGCAGCCTGGACTCCTAGTGATCTTCCTGTTTTCAACCTCCCCATGACTGGGATTACCGACGTGCGCCACCATGCGCAGACTCTGGCTGGCTCAGTGCGCCTGGGGCGGGGCCGGTGCAGCATGTTGTGCCGGGGCTCGAGCCCGGTCCCTGAGCTTGCCTAAGCAGGTGCTTAGTCTGCTGAGCTATCTTGCTGGCCCACAGCTTTCAGCATTCTGCTCTTGTGCTGTATTTCTGGAGTCTTGGCTATGATATGCCTTGGTATAGTTTGTTGTTCTTGCTGTTGTTTTGTCACAGGTCATTGGAGTTCTATATGCCTCACTTATTTTATGTCAAATTCTTTTCCTCTGCTTCAGAAATGTTCTGCCGTTGCATCTGTGAACGGCTTTTTCGTGTCATCAGCACTGTGCTGCTTTTCCAGGGGCTCCCATCAGTCAATGCTGTTGTTCTTTATATCATCTAACTGCCGCTGGATTGCGTTCTCATGGTGCCTTGCTACTTCTGAGAAATTTTTTTTCACGATCACGAACCACCGTCCCCTCTTCAGTATCTGATATTCTGTCCTCACATTGATCATTCTGCTGTCTATACGTCCAACGGAATTTTTATTTTTATTTATTACTTTTTGTATTTTAGGGAAGGGTCTACACGGTGTTCAGGGTCTCACTACTAGATCGGCTCCTAGTGATCCACCTGTTTACAGCCTCCCAAGAGCTGGGATTACAGGCGTGTGCCACCACGCCCAGTCTCAGTTGCTGTCTCAGTGCGCCCTGGGGGCAGGGCCAGCACGGCAGGCCAGGGGATCGAACTCCCGCCCCTGCAGGTGACCAGTGGCATTTTTAATCTCTTGGTGTAGTGTATTTTTAACTGCTGTTCAACTTGTCACATCTAGCTGAATTGGACTAGCGTGGTGCTGGGGTGGGAGGCCTGCCTGAGGGTTGTTGCCAGCCGCGTAATAGCACTGACAAGCTGTTGGGACGCTGTTAGGGAAGCTGTCTGGAGCAGCTGTTGGAGCTGCTGGGAGCCCTTGGTCCTCCTGGGCTGCTCTGCTGGGTGACCTTGTCATGTGGCTTTCCCAAGGAACTGGAGGAAGAACTCAGAACCTTTGTTGTCACTGAGAAAGACTGCAGTTCACTCTGGGGAGCTCTGGTCTTCACCACGAGCACCGCTTCCCGGCTCCAGAGGAAAAGATGGCGCACTGCTCAGCCTTATGGAGAAGCTTGTCACGTTGGCGTTCCTGATGGGAACTCAGCTTTCCTCATCACCAGAGGAGCTCGGGACCTCAGTGTTGCTGAGGACGGTGGTGGCACCTTTGGGGGAGCGCTGGTGCTTACGTTGAACATTGCGTCCTGGCTCCAGCTCAGATCCCTCAGCCCGCTGGCACAGATCCTTCACCCTGACATAGACATTTTGGCTTCCACCACTGAGCTTTGGGCCTTTCCAGAGCAGATCCATGAAGTGGACCTGCATGAGACATTGTCGTGGGCTCTAGGCCTCCATTTTGACTTATGAGAGGCATTGTTATGAGCTCTAGATTTTCAGCTAGACTCATGCAGGATATTAAGATTGAGGTCCTCAACTCAATTCTTTGGTCCTTAGTGTGGACAGATTTCCTATGCTTTTTGTATATGATTCTTTAGCTGATTCCTTACAAAATAATACTGTAAAATGTGTCCTATTTTATATTGTTCCCCTTGCAAAAACCCCAAGCCACAACACTTGGACATCTGTTTTAATCTGTTTCATTTCTTTCCTGCACTGTGTGTTCATGGTTTCCATCCTTTTCTAAGCTCTGCTGTTTTCTTACCTGTGTCTGCTCTAGAGTCACTAACCAACTCTTCCATTATGGTCACCATCTCTGCGTTACCTGAGGAATTATTTCTGATTTGATTTCTTTCTCCAGCCCCGGTCATCTGCTTTGTTACTTCTGTTGTTAGCACTTCAGAGAGTCCAGGTGGCAGCTTTCGGTCATTCCACCACACTGCCGGCTGGGTTTGCTTTTGGTGAGCTGGGAGTGTAGGACTGCATCTTGATTAAGTGTCTTCTCATTTTCCATTTTTATTTGAGTTTAATTCCTGGGTTGATCCTTGTAAGATGCTTACGACAGGTGGCTTTATCGCCAGTAGAACACTTAGGAAGTGACTACTTCTCAGAAATGCCTTGCAGGAGTAGCTGGCTTCTGGGTTTTGAGTTTGCTGCGACATCCTATCTCTTCAATTTATTAGGGAGGAGCAGCTGTCTGCTCGGCCCAGCCCTTGGTTGCCTGACATTGGCCTGTAGCACTTTTCATGACATTTCGACACTCTCAGTCTTGTTTTACCAGGAGAAACAGTTGACTAGAGCGGTTACGTCACTTGGCTAAGATGACACAACCAGCAATAACCATACCATCAGACAGAGTCTAGAAGTGGCAGACTGATGTCACTGTTAATTTGCCATCTTTAATCATATGAAGTAGGTTTGTGGTTATTTGGTAAAATCTAACATCAGAAAATTGTATATAGTAAATAAACTATCAGTACGGCAGTTTTACCTCCAGGGGAAAAAAATGTAAGAGGGGTTAGGGCAGAAAACTAGAGAAAATGAAAAAGAGGAAGAGACCAGAAGCAAAGCTGAGGACAAAGGAAGAGTGTGTAAACTTTGGAAACGTGGTGAAGAAGACAGCAGGGAAAGAGGTGGAAGAAACAAAAACAAGAGCAGAGAAACAACAGAAGAACTAGAAGCCACGTACACACTAATGAAAGGAACAATCAACAACAACAACAACCACAAATGAAAAGATAGAACAGAAAAGGTCTACTCCAAGGCGCGGCTCCGCTGCCGCGGGCGGCCAAGGCGGGCACAGAGCGTGCACATCCGCGGGCGCTCTCCGAGCGGGGCAGCTCCACATCCCGGGAGTGCGCGATCCCAGCGAGCCTGCGCCCCTCGCGGCGCACCGCAGTTCACGCGGGCTTCTGGCTGTGGGGCTGGAAGGCGGTGCGCGCAGCCTGCAACGCTCCGCGTGCCTCCTGCCGGCTGGAACGGGCCTCCCGGAGCCAGAGGCGGGAGCCGCTGGGTGGAGCGAGCTGCAGCTGCGGAGCCCTGAGCTCCGCGGTGCCCTCTCAGGACGGTCCCCTCTCCAGGACGGCCTCCTCTCCAGGACGGTCACCTCTCCAGGACGGCCTCCTCTCCAGGACGGTCCCCTCACCAGGACGGCTCCCCCACCCTCCCCACCCCCACCAGTGGCCTTCCCCTGCGGGATTCGGAACCCTGAATAACTCACCAGGCACTGCAGTCCACTGCCCACGCTGGTCCGTTCCACTGGTGCATTTGCCCACGGAGGTCTCTGGGGTCACCAGTGGTCACCAGTGTCTGCAGGGGACCAGCCATCCCTCCCACACAATGAGTCTGGCCCCTCTGTCTAAAGGTGGATCCTGTCATCCAGTAGGTGCGAGGCTGAGGCAGGAAGATCCCTGGAGTTTGAGGCCCAGGCTGGGCTCCATAGCAAGACCCTGTCTGAAGAAACAAAACAAAGAAACAAGCATCCTGGATGAATGAAGAGTCCCGGTCCTCCCAGAGGTGAGGACAGGTGTCAGCACTCGGCGGCGGACATTGGTACCAACCCTGCCGCCCGCGGGTCTCCCAGACCTCCAGGCTTGGCCCCGTCCCTGCACTGCAGTGCTGTTGGCAGCTCCGTGTGTATTCATCAGGACCTGCGCGGGGCAGATTCATCCCAGCCGCCCTGCAGAACTGGCATTGCAGAGAAAGACAGGTGAGGAAGTTGAGGGCAGGCCGAGTCTGATCAGTATCCCGAAGGACAACACGTGGGGAGGGCCGGGGCTGCCGCGTGGGGGGGGCATTGTCGCAGTGCTTAGGAGCAGCAAAAGGGGCCAGGCTGCAGAGAGCAGGGGGAGGGGGAGGGGCCTGCCATCCCAGCAGGGAGGCTGAGGCAGGAGGAGCACAAGTTTGTGCGCAGTCTGAGCAACTCAGTGACTCAGTGAGACCCTGCTTCAAAATAGAAAATAAGGGGAGTGAGGAGGGAAAAAAAAGAAGAAAAGAAAAGAAGAAAGGGCTGGGGCTGGGGCTCTGTGCCAAGGCCCCAGCTTCTTCGGCCAACACCCCCAACCATCAAAAGGAAGAGGCATAGGGAACCTCCAGCCCTGGTGTGGGTAGAAAGGGGCCGCTGCATCTGAGGAACTGGAAGTCGGCAGTGTGGCCACTGACTGGAGCAGGGAGGGCAGTGGGGGTCCCATGTCCCCGCTCATGCTGGGCTAAGGCGCCCTCCCTCCATCACCTGACACAGCAAGGGGACAGGGCAGGAGCAGAGTGGATCTCAGTTCCAGCCCAAGGTGCTCAAGCCAGGGTGTGCTGCCCTCAGGCCCAGGCTTGGGGACTCCAGCGGCCCCCACCAGGTCACTGTTACCATGGTCATCCGTCACACTCCACCCTTCCTGTCCAGTGTGAGCCTGTGGTGTCCTTGCTGCTGAGAGACACTGGGAGCTTGGGCCAGGGGCTGAGGACACGGGGGTCTGCCGGGCTCTGGGGGACAGGGAGGCCACAGGGCAGGGACCTGGCTCCCTGTGGTGTCCCATAATGGCCACGCATGGATGTCCGGGTCAGATGCAGCTAGGTCGGCAGAACCGACGCAGTGTGATTGAAAGGTGGCACCTGTCAGCACTAGGAAACCCGAGCCCGGGCCAGGGGCAGTGTTGTGCCAACAGAGCCGTAAACAATGCTCACGCAGGCCGGGGGGCGGGGGGATACAGAGCCGGAAGCCCCTGGCCTAAGGAGCGAGGGAGCCACAGGCCAGAGGACAGCGCAGGCTCAGGTAGGAGAAGCCCTGGACCCTTCTTGACACCCCCTCCCCACAGACACTCAGAGTCCCACTGTGCCAGGCCTGAGCTTCCAGGGTCCCTCTGACCCCAAAGGCCCAGGTTCTTTGTCTTTCTTTTCTTCTCTACTGGAGACTGAGCCCTGGCCTTTGCCCTGAGGTACATCCCCAGCCCTTTTGTTAGTTTTCATTGTGAGACCCTCCTGCCTCAGCCTCCCAGAGTGCTTTCTGATTCTTTCCACCACTTGGTCAACTCTTCTGAGAAACCCTGAAGGTTTTGTACCCTGGAGGTCACCTACAGAGTGACCATTCAAGGAGGACTTCTGATGGGGATGTCGGGATCTTGCCAGTCCAGGGGCCTCTGGCTGGGTGTGGGGACCCCCAGACTCCTGGAAGCGGCCTGGCAACAGTGGGACCCCAGCACGGAACAACTGGAGGCTTCCTGGGCAGGGAGCGCGGATCAAAGCAGTGAGAAAGCTGGAGGGCGGAGGACCCTTCATGAGACTGGGGTGCACTTGGGCCCCTCCTCTGACACCCCCGCCTGCCAGCGGGTCCCCCACCCCCAGCCGTGGTCTTTGAGAGCCCCGGACCAGGAGCTCATTGGAGCAGAGTGTGGGAACCAGCATCAGATCAGTGGGTTTAGAAGGTTAATGACACCCTGAGCTCAAATGCCTGATCTATAACCCACCCGCTCCTCAATTTACATGCCTGATCTATAACTTATCCGCTTTGGGTTTTGTGTAGAATAGAAGCCATGCAAGATACAAGCTTGTATCTGGGTCACTTCCCTCCGCACCGCAGCCTCAAACTGCACCTGTTTTCCTACTCAGGACTCAGGTTGACCTTCTTCACAGCTGAGTAGTACTCTATCAATACCAGCACCTTTTCGGAAGAGTCAGAGTGAGGGGCAACAGAGGTCAGCCAGGGTCTGTAGGCAGCTAGAAGTGGCTGCAGGCGGGGTGCTGGGTGTGGCAGCCCAGCTTCCCCATGTCTGAGCTCCTCCTTGTGTGTCGATCACACACACCTGGGAGATGGGTGGACAGGGGCGCCCAGCACTCCCTCAGCTGGAGGCGAAAAGGGCTCTGCTAGGGCCTCCCAGCCCACGGCGCCCTCCACACACATCAGCAGTGAGTGCCCAGGAGGCCCGGTCAGGACTGCCACAGGGCAGGCATGGCCATGCCAGACTCACACACCTGCCTGTGCCCCCATGGGCTGGACCTCACGCTGAGGCCATGGGGCACGAGCCTGCTGTGCATGGCTGACAGGCACCTGGTACCCATTCACCTGGGCTGGCATCGCCCTGCAGGAGATGTAGTCAGAGCTGTTGCCGCGGGATGGTGGGCCCAGGGCTCTAGTCTGGGGACCGTGGACCTCCCATTGCCTCCACCCATTCCCAGGAGGCACAGGCACTGTCCCTGACTGCATGGCCACCGCCAGGCAATATTTTTAGCTGGTGACAGGGGCCTGCACCTTTCTTAACCCCTGCGTCATGCCCTGAGCTCGACCTGAGGTTGTTTTCTTTGTAATTGGGCCCCTGGAAGGACGGGGACCAAGGAGTGACCCGGTGCCCAGCTGTCTGAGTCCTACAGTAGGTGCAGTACTTACACACAGTACTTACACTGAGTACTCGGCACAGTACTAAGACCCCCAAGCTGGGTCCCAGCCTGTCCCCAGGCCCTGCAGAGTGATGCTGGTAGAGCGTGTTTGTCACCAACCCAGGCTCTTCCCTGCCCACCTCTGGGAACCACTGGCAGCCAGGCCCAACGGGGCAGCTGGCCCTGGGGCTCCCACATCCCAATCGAGCCCCACCCGGGAGGCTCAGGACCCAGCTACTCTCCTGCCTTACAGTTCAACAAGGCACTCTAAACAGACACTTTCTGTCACGGCTGGGAATGGAAACTCAGTACCACGTGCCAGAAAGAGAAAGGAGCTGTAAGAATAAACATGTGGGGGAGGGGAGATGGCTCAGTAGAATAAGCGCTTCCCTGGCAAGCGCAAGGGCCTGAGTTCAATCCCCGGTTCCACCAAACGTGCGCGGGGAAACAAAGTGGTGCTGTTTGAGTCAGCACAGCTAGCTTCTCCCTTCACTCGGGCTCTGGGGCGGAGCACCATTGTCCCCCAGGCAATGCTTGAGGACAGCTTTAAGAGGCAAAACCAAGGCAGGCTACATGTGCTCCGCATTCCTGGGGTTAGGGCATCCTGCTCGCAGCCCTTTAATGGGGGGGGGCTTGTTGCCATGGTGACAGAGGGTGCTGGGGTTTCCAGGTCGTGGAGTAGGGGACCAGGACTGCTGACACCTTGGCTTCGTGGGGATGTCTTCAGCCCAAGTGGGAACAGGGTACAACTAAGTCCCTGGTCTTCTTTCTAGACATGGAAGCCGAGGAGAAACTATCCAAGGAGGGGACAACTGTCTCCCCAGCCGCAAAAGAGCCTGAGACATCAGGGGCTGCAACAGAGGAGATGAAAGGCCCAGTAGGGGAACCACACACCAAGGACAGTGTCCCCAAGGATGATGTCCCTGAGGATGATGTCCCCAAGAATGGTGTCCCCAAGGACATTATCCTCAAAGATGGTGTCCCCAAGGATGGTGTCTCCAAGAATGGTGTCCCCAAGGATGGTGT